TATGTAGACCAGGCTGGCCTTGAAGTCACAGAGATCCACCTGCCTCTGCCTCCAAGTGCTGGGACTACAGGCGTGCGCCACCACGCCCGGCTGATGAATATGTTTTTAAATCCCAGTTTTAATAAAAGCATAGTGTGTGTATGAGCCTTGATAGGTAAATTCTTTAATGACTGTGGTATAAGCTGTATATGGTCACTGCTGCAGGCAAAGACTGTGGCCTTCACATGTAAGGTGGCTTTTTATCTATGCAGGTTAGTCACTAGATACCACCCAACAGATCACCTTCACAGTGGCATTTTAAGCTATGTTACTAAACAGTTTAAAACATCTTGCAACAATCTGTCAAGCCAAAAACATAATTACTCATCCTCTTTCTAAGACATGAAGCTTAGAACCAGTAGTCAAGTAGCAGTTAATCCCAATAAAATACGGTTCATCTGCCAAAAGAACAACAAATGCCCTGGTTATTTACACTCCTGTTTCTATTTCATGCTGTCTTCCAAGCTGAATGAGACATCTCAATCCCAGCACTTCCCATTCACAGCCCCCCAACCCCAATACCAAGGTCATCTGTGTACACGGTGGTTATGTTAACTTTTCTGATTAACCAAATCCATTTCTACATTGACTTAAAACTAATGGCAAACAATTCTTGGATTGAAACAGATTGTGGGGCGTTAGAGGGGGGCAGGTATAGTTCTTATTTCCTTTTAGAGTTAAAGTCAGAGAACATTAATAAGGATCAATTAATTGATAACCAGGTTCAGAGAGGCTGGAATGACTTGTCATGATGAAAATCTACTAAGGTCAGAGCTTAGCCTACAACTCAGGTTTCTTGACCTTTTATTCATTGCTGTCCAGGCATATGTGGCAAAACAAAAAATGCTACATTTCTAAAGTAACCCTAAATCACTTGTAGAATGTATTTCAAAAACACATACATTTCATATGTAAAGCCTCAGATGCATAGGTGATTTCACAATGTAAAAATAATTACCTCAAAAATATAAATGGACTGGGATGTACCTCAATGCTGGAGTGCTAACCTAGCATGCATGTGGATGGACCTGGGTTTGAGCTCTAGCACTACACCAAAGGGAAAAAAGGGGGAGGGGGGAAGCTATGTACATACAAGCTAAAATTTTGTTTCTTCAGCCAAACACTACCAGTAAAACAATAAAAACCAGACAACATAAGCAGATGCTTAGAAAAACATACACATAACTCTCTTAACAAGGGAGGCATATAAAGTGCACAGCCATTGAATAGTAATCAAGAAGTCACTCGGGAGAACGGCCTAACAGCTCAGTGGCAGAGTGCCTGTCTGGCATGTACAAGCACACAAAAGAATCACACAGGAGTGAAACATTTACTTCCTCGGGTAAAAGAAGAATAATTACATATCACACTCCTTTGCCTGAGAAAGCAGCACAACTGAATTGGCATATGCTCATTAAAGACAAAGTACATCAGAAATGTGGGGCAATATTAAATCAAAGCCCACAGGTAATCATGCCAGAGCTTACCTAAACTTTCAGTGTTCCAAGTTCTAGTGTGAACTTGTCTCATTTCCCAGATCTGCTAACTCCCTGTCCCTCTCAGCAGGCTCTACCAGAGCCTGAGCTTTGGGGACGCTGTTCAGCTGAATGCAGTAATACTGAAATCAATACATGATACTTTTTTATTTTAATCAAGTTGGCATCACCGCTATTTTTTCTTTTTTGTAAGACTTTCAATTAATATGCCAGGTGTGGTGGCACATGCCTTTAATCCCAGTACTTGGGAGGCAGAGGCAGGTGGATCTCTGTGAGTTGGAGACCAGCCTGTTCTACATAGCTAGTTCCTGCCTCCAAAAAGATTCCCCCCCACCAACCCCCCCAGAAAAACTTTCAATTACAATTAAATCATCACAAATTAGGTACAATTACCCCATCGCTGGCAAATACAGCTTCACCAAAGGGGGTTTAAATTATAACAGTAATTAAAAACCATCCATAGTCAGCTGGATCACATAGCTGAGTAAGGTTTAGATTTCAAACTCTAGGAGGATAGAAAAATTCTAAAGTACTGGCATGGTTTGAAATAATTTTAAGAGGGGCTGGAGAGATGGCTCAGTGGTTAAGAGCACTAGCTGCTCTTGCAGAGAACCCCTGGGTTCAGTTCTCAGCACCCACATGGCAGCTAACAACCATCCATAACTCCAGTTCCAGAGGACTTGACACCCTATTCTGATCTCTGAGAACAGTGTATAACATGGGTGTGCTTACATGCAGGAATACACTCATGTACATAAAATAAAAATAAAATAAAAATTTTTTTTTGGTCTTTTTGAGACAGGGTCTCCCTGTAGCCCCAGCTGTCCTGGAACTCACTATGTAGACCAGGCTGGCCTTGATAAAATATTTTTTAAAAAAGAAAAAATAATTCTAAGAATGTACTTTTTTTTGTCTAAATAACTTTTTATATAGACTTAAGCCTAATGTCTAGGAAGTGTAATCCCTTGAGCTCTTAAAGAAGTATACTAACGACTTTACTCTTTGGTTATACTTTCCTTTTGGGTGTTTAAGACCATACAGTTGGCCCCAATAAACCAATTTATTTTTACTCTTAAGGTAACGGTTTGAGGATCTGTTCCTCGGGTGTCACATGGGCTTGAGAGGAGCCCCTATCTCCTTTCTTTTACCAGTTCCATCTATGTGAAGATAAGTCAAAGGTCCTGCTTGGCCATGGCCAGCTTTGTTCAAGTCCATCGACACTTGTTCAAGTCCATCTGGTGGGTTCTCCATGACCTCCTTGATCAAGAGGACAGGTGACTCAGCACAGTTACAGGACATTTTGAGAGATGCTCCATAGTCCCCTGGAACTTAGTTGACTTTAGAGGTCAAGGAGCAAAAACTGTCCTTTATGTCCCTCTGAACAAATTAGTATAGGTCTCAAAGTATGGCTGTTAAGCATCCAAGAAGGTTTGGCTGTTAAACATCCAATAAGGTTAGTTTCACCAGTCTGGTACTTTTGATTATCATGTGCTATGTAGACAAGGCTTGGGTAAAAAATCAAATATTCTCAGATAAACCTTGACTAGATATATGTTTTGTTCTTTAAACTAGTTGACTAAACTATGACCATAGACATTTTAAGATTATGTGTATATTGCTTT